AACATCGACCAGACTACACAGCGCAACAACCCAGAAGACAGAAATCTTCATACTCATCGCCCTGATGATGGAGGCAGTATGACCTCTGGGACGTTGGTTAACATCGACCAGACTACACGGCGCAACAACCCAGAAGACAGAAATCTTCAACTACAAGAATAATTTGTGAGTCAGGGAGATCACCCTAATAACGGAATTGACAAGGACCTCTTCAAAGTTGGTAAACGTTTACCAGCCCAAAAGACAGCCATCTTCTAAACATTCCGACGAATGTGGTATTGGGTATGACCCATTCAATGCTTCAGGTTCTAAATTTCTACATAACCGCTGCCATAATTTCTACTTTAGTAGGCGAGGATCACTTCTGCCCATAGAAATGTAATATCGGACGTTAGACGTTCAATTTACCAAAACCTTTCTCCCATGAATTTTACCATAAACCTTCAGGTTTCTTTTTAATAATGGCCACAATTATTAATTATTAGTTTTGAACGGTACATAGAGCTGGAACATGCAAACTCAAGATCCTATCTATTAATGATCTCATAGTTTAACCAGAAGGAGTTTACGTAGTTGGAGTAAAGTTCAACTTAAGGCCAGTACCTTCTTCAGGAAATGTCAAATAAGGTCTATGACCGCAGATAGATCTAAACATAACCCAGTGTTATACTCCACACTCCTGGGCATAATTGGTGCTACATTAATGTGAAGCTGTTATAATGGCATGGGTGGTCACCGACAGAAACCATGATTTCCTAAAGTTCCGAATTTCTTGATCACATTCAGAATTATAACAAGTACTTTTATTTAATGGTTTACGTCTATTTAGCGACGCTATCAGAAGCTCAGATTGTGTAATGTCGAATAATAGGATGATTAATTAACGAGGTTTTAACCCGGGACATCCCAGATGGGAAATGCGCTAAACTTTCGATCTACCTGCTTGCTTTACAACTGAACAATGGGTTTAAATAATTAACTAGAAGTCTTGACATAAACTCAAATATATTATTCGCGACTGTTAACATATAAAAGATTGAGAACCAAATTTAAATTTCAGATGCACAATTTCTCACAAACGAGGCAGTGCAGACTGAGTTATAGCCCGACATCTGTAAGGTAGAAATGCCACTAATTCGAAATGTCAGAGTCACGATAATAAAATATTGTTTCATCTTATGTGGATGAAATTCCTCTAAAAATTAGGCTAGATTAGATTATTTCTTAGAATCGTGAAAATTATTAATTAAAAGTAATAAAACCTCAGCTTTAGTAATGTCATTTCATCTTCACCAGCCAGCTGTCTTAGACTAAGGCCTATGTGTATAATCATGACTCCGTCGTAATTGCCTCGTTTTGAACTACTAGCAGTTGATGTCGGCATTAACATAATGTAGTTTATAAGTCGTCACTATTTCATAAACATTAAAGGTAGCTTTAAGTCTACAAGAAGAAACATGATTAAAACCCCGTAGTGCACGTATACCCGTTAACTAAGTAAAGTGAGAAATTCGGACTTGGTACACTTTTACCCTGCGATGACCATTGCTCACTCTTGGCCTCGTTCTTCAAAGGGAGTCAGTGAAGTTGATAAGAACGACCCTGCCGGTTCGATACTACCGCCCACGTCATCATTAAATATTCACATTTGCTATGGCGACCTAGATACATCACTCGAGACAGCATTCAACATGGAAAATGTTTGTTCCAACGCTACGTTTTATAGAGATTGATTGGGTGAAACAGCTGAATACGCTACAAATGACAGACAGCAGGTACCTCATCTTTGTTGCATAAGAGCGTTAGGGCTTCCGTGAAGTTCTAACCTCGAACACTTCGTTGGGTTATGAACACGCGTCTGCCAACAGTACTCAATACTTGTGTTCTTCATTTCGTTGTCCTGGGAGAAAACGTCGAAACGTCTTCTCATTTTTAATATGAAGATGTCAAGGTGACCTGTATGTTGTTAATCTATTAGAAATATTTCGTATTCGGGATGTAAGAATGCCTTGTCTATCTCTTGATCGTATTTTCGTATACCTTAGCAATAAGCCTTGTTGAGTGGGCCAAAACTATGGAACCAGCTAAGGTTAAATCGGAAAGGAGGTCGAATTGTGTAGACGAAAATAGTTTGTGAGTCGAACTTCTTATCTGAACGGTTCCGTGTTGATTTTCTGATTAATTGTAGTAGCGGATAAGAATGTGCATATATATCACGCGGTTACTCTACCCTGGTTAATGGAAAATACAAACTACGGAAAGAAAGCTTCTCATGCTCTGGGCATTATGGTTTCTGTTTTGTTCTTATGAGCTGTGACGTCGGCGAAGTCTAAGGGCCAAAAACCCAGAACACTACAAACAGTATTTAAATGGGTCTCGTGAAGAGAGATAATAGTGAAATTGTTCACCTGTTTTTTCGTCGATGTCGAAGAATGGGGTGAATGGGTTGCCTTCTGACACGATGCCGTAGCGCAGTTCGCGGGGAGACCCTTTATCGCCGTCCTCTGCGCAGACCGTCAGCACTACGTCACCCTGTATAATGTGGGTGTGATAATAGATTAAGTAGCACTGACAAAATTGCATGCTTCAAGGCCACGGAAAAACTTTACCCCTTACCGCGTGGCTCTAAGTCACCAGTAGAGCTTTGATACGCTGCGAGTTCTGAGCTGTCTTCACTCGCTTGGGCTCCGCTTTCAATGTAGCAACGTTGTACGCTTTTGCTGTGCGTTGAAGTATGCATTTTTGTGAGGGACACTACAGTGATTATCACAAGTAATCTTACGTGGTCGATCATCGGCTCACAAGTGATAAATCTCAACAAGTATAGAGTTATGGATTCATGAAAGGGACACACTCTGAAAGTATCATCATAAATTGTGCAAACAGAAAATACAAAAATAAATAAAATTAAAGAAATATGATGCATGAACCTATGTAAATTAATTAATTGATTATTAAATAATACACAAAATATACGTAAATAAATAAATATGTACATAAATAAATAATCTCGTTCCAAGAAACACTTCGTCCCGAGAAGCTAAAAATAGTTCAGCTTGTCAAGAATTTTCCTGATTTGATAGAAACCAAATATTAATTACTATGTTTGTAAGTGAAATAAAGAAACGAATAGGAATACATAAATACATTCGTGAATTAATTAATGAGTAAATATACATAAAAAAGAAAATGGATCAGTAGGCATAAATACAGAAAGAAAATTACGAGATAAATACACAAACTAGTCAATTGGACCTACACATAATGTGCTCTCTTAGCGCTCACCTCCTGTAGCGTGTTGTTGAGGACAGTGACCGGCGGCACGGATGTGAAGATCGGGGGAATGTCTTGGACATCTTGTACTGCGACGGCAAGGATAAAGCCGGCCAAGTTGCGGGTGTCAGTATCAGGCTCTGCATACGCATCCTGCCAACAAAACGAAAGCAAATGCCCTGGGCACATCAAACTCCAAAAATTGTGTTCGTGAGACCTGAGTTTTCGCGACGATTAGATAACTACGACGCCCTTGTGGGGTTTTGGCGCCATATAGACGCGCAGGTAGATGCCGACGTTTCGGATCATAACGTTATCCATTCCCGTGGAAGCGTAGTGTTTCTGTTATCTTAATGCGAGCCATATCTTTTGGCGGAGCACGCTTTTTTTAAAAACGAGGGCCTGCGGACTGAATCATGGCAGTGTAACTACAGTTTCTGCTGCGGAGGAAGAAACACGGATTCATGTACTTACCACAGCGTACACTGTCATCGTGTACATGGACTGTTTCTCGAAGTCTAGCTCGCCATTCAGGATGATGGTTCCATTCACGGTGTCCGGAGAGGCTAGACTCTGCCTCATGGCAAAGTTGGGAGAACCCTGCAAGAAAGGGTACCGCGTTCAAGGGCGTGTTAGCTCTGTCAGCGCTAGGGCGTTTGAAGACATTTTTGTTGCAAGGGATACAAAAGATTTGCCTCAATATACAAAAGTTTACACACTACGGTATTGAATACATGGCGCCTCAATCAAAGATATCCAACTGCAGCCAAATCCTTCCTCAGTATGTAAAACGTGCCCGACTAGTCGAGAAATTGCACCTTTTATGGAACCAGAAGTTTGCTGATGTCTACACGAAGAGTTCGCTAGTGATCTCTATCCTGAGGCAATTTAATCCAGTCCACACATTAGCAACAAACTTATTTAAGATCCAATTTAATATTATCTTCCCATCTGTGCTCACGTCTTCCAAGAAATGTATTTTCTGCAAGTTTTATGACCGGGCGCCTTGTATTCATTTCCCATCTCTCTTGTCTGTCTCTTATTCCTTGTTTGGGCAGAAATAAGAGTTAGAAGGAAGCACATACCCGCAATTCCAAACCGACGTGTCTCGTGTTCTTTGGGTTTTTTCGGGCGATAACGTAGTCCAGCTCAGTACCGACCTTCGTGTTCTGAAATAAAAACGAATAAACATCTATAGGCTACAGCACGTAGCAGCAGAGTAAATGAATTATTAACAAGCTGCGATTTAAACTGTGGGTATGACGCAGTAAAGAATTAGATGAGTCATATAATCCGATTCTTCTTTTTTTTCATTTATCTACGACTTACGCAATTACGCTTTTAACAACTTAAATCAAACAGCTTCGAATAATACGATAATTAGTGGATGTTGCATTGGAAATAAGTTATATAGGTCGGTATTTGGCTGGAGCGGCTGAACAAAACCACGGAATCCTTAGTCATTATAATCGCTCTCCAGGCCAAAGTTTCTATCCAGGGACGTCCTGAGTACAGATAACTTGAAAGGAGACAAATAATGTGTGTGATTTACACGGCACAGTACAATGTGTGCCAGGTACTATCACGAGGTTCGATAGGCGTTGAACGTAAATATTTAATTTGGTTAAACTAGGCCAGAAAATGATTTTCTGGTGGGAAATTTTACTGTATTGTTCAGTGGCGAACGCAAACGCATGTAAAAAAACTACGGCCATAAAAAGGGGGGGAAATAAATGTGGTAATCAACCATAAGTTTTCATCTTGTGAGGCCAACACGTCAGAAGACAGGAAGGAAAATGGATAAGGTAAAAGCAAAATATAAGAAGGAAAGAAAATAAATTTAAAACGAGAAGAAAAAATACATTTTGAATAGATTCGTAGAAGCATCCCACGAACGACTGAAATCGTAGAAATTTTGTCCCTATCGGGTGGCCGATCATTTCGGAGACGTGTCCATCGGAGTGACTAACCGTACCTCTGGAACCACGACGAGCAAGGGCAGATGCGGGAAGATGGTGTCGATCGGCGTGGAACTGTTCGTGGGTCTGATGGTGCACCGGACGCTGGTCGTATCACCGCGGGTGTCCCTCAGTCGAATCCTCAGGTCGTACACACGTCCCAGCTCCAACGGGCGGGCCAGCAGAACATTCGCCTCGCAGAAGGAGTGGTTCCTGGTGCAGGGCAGGTTCTCAATGCGAACCACCGGCTCGGCTCCAGCTCCTGTACAATTCAGCATGCAATAGGACATAGGGGATACCACTTGGTCCACAACCACATCAAACATCCTTTCCAAATCGTTGCTTCATAATCATACTGTCATTAGACGCTTACAATCAGACCTGCTATTAAATTAACCCCAAATAAATAAATAAATAAACAGAGACAACTCTGCTTACCAATAATGTCGAACTCCAGAGGGAAGTCAAAGTCTGAGTCGGTTCCCCGGAGGCGGTAGATTGCAGATCCTATCTTCGCGTCCACGGGTACCAGCAGCATCCTCATCGAAGTGGCCACATCCAAGACGGGGTAGTTACCGGCCGTTACAGTGGCCAGTATCAGGAGCACCAGCAGCGGGGAGACCATTCCACCACCTGCCGAGACGTTCTGATACACTACTTTGCTTCGTATTTGTCATAAACTATCGTCATTGAACCTCAGGATGGCGTATTCACGTCGTGTGAAGACATGTTCTGTGTTGTGGAGACCTGATGATCGAGGTATTAAGGGTTCTAAAACGTCGGCAAACCTCTACCAGATTACACAGCGCTACAACCCAGAAGACAGCCATCTTCGTACTCGCTACCGTGAGAACTTCAAATCACTTACCCACTGAACACAGTCTAACACTACTTCGTGTGTTCTTTGCAAACATGACTAACACTTTTTATCGTTTTGCTGCAGATAGCTGAAGAACATGGTAGCGCATCCGGAATGGCATGTAGACTGACGGATTATAATTTTCTTACTCCCCAATAGAAGTCTACGTGAGTAAGTCTGTCCAAAAAGAGAAAAAAATGTCCATTCCAGGAACAAATCATTCATACACGTCGGACGCTGGGCATAAAACGAACAGGAGACCTACTGAGAACTACTTTTTGTTAGGGCCAATCGAATAACTTACTGGGGAATTTTCATTCCATCACAGGGAACAACCAAGCGTTGCGACATTTCTGATGTCGTGATAATAAGTCCAATAGTATAAAAGCCAACAAAAAGCTTTAAAAATAATTGTGTGATACAAGATAACGGAATGGACGTAGACTACGTAATTAACACACTGACCATGAAACGTCAGCTTCCCACTAATGGGTTGATTGATTGGTTTATTTCACTATTTAAAGGGCAAATATAACTAGTATTTAATAATTCGGTTCCTTACCTTAAAAAAATACTCCGCATCTGTGCTTTTTCAAACGTTACATATTCTTTATATATGTTTAATTATTCCCTATAAACGCCGTCACCAAACATCTGCATGCTTCTAAGTCACAGAAAAATATTACAATGTTGCAACGCGAACAGAAAAACCTGGCGAGTGAAGACAACTCAAAACACGAAGCGTAGCATAGCTGCAATGTTGACGCCGCACGGTAACGGGAAGGGGGGAATCCTTCCGTAACCTTGAAGCATACAATTTGGTGACGGCTAATGTAACGTCATTCCACAAATTAAAGTAGTAATAATATTATTTAAGATGTAGAATTTGAGGCAATTTGAGTGCAGATTGCTGTATACTAGGTTGTTGGACCTTACAGTCTTTTGTCTGTATGCCAACGCTTTTAGGGACATGCTGCCTTTATCTTTAGGGCTGATGACACAGACGGCCAGAACAGACTACTGTAGTGATAACACTTTAGGCCTTGTATTAGGAAGTCACGTCGATCAAATTCCCTCTGTCTCTCCCGATCTCTGCAGTGATAGCATCTTCAAGTGGGTAGCGGCAATTTCCTGTCATATCCTTACATTTCACTATTCACGATCAACTTCAGCCCTCTTTCGACACAATATAATCTCTGCATTTGAAGAAACTTCATTAATTAACCCCCGAATCAATCAATCGATAAGTATTACGCAACAAAATAAGTCCTATTGACAACTTTCAAGCTTGTGAATAAATATTAATAGTGTTCATAATTCCTGAATATTTTATCCAGGATTTCAGCTAATAAACTCGTTAAAGAATATATTTAAAAATTATGTAAAATATCTTAGCCGGTATACTACGACATGAACGTGTAATTAATATAGTGAAAAATGATTTCTTATCTTTAGAAATTGCTTATAATTTAGAGTAGAGAAAGTTAATTTATGCGTCAATAAACATAGAAGAGAATAACTGAGATCCAGGTTTCAGGGTTATGGACACGTTATTAATGTGGGGCGTGTCCTCACAAGGTGCCCCCTGAAGGGCACACGCTCTCACCATCAACCCAATAACAAATGACCCTTCAAAGCGACGAACCGATTGCTTTTTGTTCGCCTGTTCTAAGAAGAGGTTCATATTGATCGTAGGCATAAGGAGCGATCAAATGAACAGAAAGGGGGTGGATTTTAAACACAGAGAACAATGCATGTTGACTTAGAAGAGGAGGTAAAGTAATTTAAAGTAGCATCTAAGTCAGTCCTTCCAAAAAGCCCGTACTTACACTTGTTAGTAGTTTCACTTTAATGGAACAGCAACACAAAGGACATAATTCTGTACTTATTTCTCACATTATAATCTAAGGACAAAATACATTTGATTAAAGCCTCCAACTGGCGTTACAGCTACAGATGATAAGATGATGACCGGCGAAAATTGTGACGTATCTGTACGGTCTACACGTGTGTTTGAGAGGTACCAGATTTGAATTTTGGCCAAGTTACAGGACAATCCTACATTTTTTCCTTCATCCTCTGAATAGTATCTTTAAACCTCCTTAAAAGCCTTAAACTACTCATTATTAATGAATATGTTCTTATTTTATTCTAAAGTACAGAATTGTAAACTCTGCAGTTAAACAATGTCACTAAGTAAATAAGAATAAATTACATATTTAATAATCTTAATGAATTATGAAAATAATATGCAGCTGATCAGAAATAAAACGTGTAGAGCTAAGTTAATTTACTAAAAGAGACAACTATCCTAAACTGTAATAAAAATAATGCTTAAAAAATTAAAAATTTACGTTCTCACAAACTGTTGACTCTTTAGGCCAAATTTATGTTAAAAGTTATCCTTGTGTCTAAGCGCCACACCATGAAGATGTGTGCTAGCGTGGAGATACAGCTTTATCTCAGCTTCAGATGAAAGCATGTTAACAGCTTCATCCTCCGGCCGCCTTGGGGTCCGGAACAGACCACCCATACCTGCTGTATAAAGGTCCCAGGGTCGCTGAGTCTGATTCATCGAGTAATGTTGGGGTCTTGTGATAGCATGTCTGACTTCGATCGAAAGCAAAGTGACCACTAGCAGCAGTCGTCAATATTAAAACATGCTAAGGTCGATGGCTTCTATGGTAACACAACTAGGTCACGTGACGGGGTATTTGCTCTCAGTCTCAGTTTGTTTATCACAAATGTAAAACAGAACTTACAAGCTTTGGGGATAAGGTTTCTGCTCAAAAATAATAGCCGGTCAGTGCCATTACCAGATGAGAATTAAGTAAGGGAAACAAAGTCTGTAGTTACTGTCATATTATGTTAACACCAAAACAGACGGTGTTTCATTACGTTTAGAAATTTTAAGGCCGTATGTGCACGGGATAATAGCATAAATGCCATCCACCCATGAAAATTATGGAAGATTTGTCAAAATAGGACTCAACCTCTTCTTTCCACATCCTTCCGGATCCTTAATTTATAATTATTAGCCAGTTCCACGCTGCTATATAAATTATCAATGAGACGCATCGCACTGATGACTCAATGTCGTGAAAACCTCAAATCCTATTAAGTTAAAAAGCGTCGTTAATCACAAAATAAGGGGGAAAAACTACAACTTGGGCACATGGAAACTTTCGTTTGGGCACTTCACGCCATCAGACACGTGAAATTATCGACGAGACTCACAGAAATGTAACCTCTCGTTCTTTGTCTGTCTAAAAAATTATATTTTATTTGTCTACATTTGACTCTAGACTTAAAAAACCGCCAACAAGAACTATTGCGCCTGCCACATCGCGATTAGGCTATGAGTCACGCAACGATGTCAGAGAAGTTGCCGACCTTGGAAACATGTCGACACGTGTGGGCAAAACAGGGCTACAGGTTTCGCTATCCTACATCTTTTACTGAGAGTTACGGTTTCGACTCTCGGCTCGCAGTTGAAGTACATTAATTGGAATTTCCTAGGTTTTCCTCAGTTCTGCCACGTGAATATTGTTATGACATCTTAAAACAGACAACAAAATCATTGTTGTATTTCCTGCCGAATTCTTCTGCGGTGCTGAAAAGATGTCAAATAAGTTAACTCAAAGGGAAGACGAGCCCAGCACTGTGGGCATTTACATAAGCCAGAAATTTTAATGCCAACTGGCGTTAGCCAATCTCGGACCCGTCAGGCAATGGACAATGCCGAATACGATATCTACAGTGTAACAAAAATATAGTTCTATAGCCAAGCATTGATGGTGCCGTGTAGTTGTCACTGACGTTGAAATAGGGAAGAATTTAATAAATACAACCTTCTCCGCACACCCTAATGCATTTTAGACGATAATTTTATGTTTCCAATTTTTAAACTAGATGCAACATTCTACTTTGATGACAGATAAAATAACGGTTAAATAAATTGACGTCTTATAAAAGCTGTCGACACTTTTAAATAAATACCATGTTACGAACAATTCATGTAACTGTTAGGGTCGGAAGGCCTGAAGGATGGAGACCAGTGGGAAGACGTAGACATACATGGAAGGATAATATTAAAACGTATCTTAAACAAATATGGATCGAATATGTGGACTGAAGTGACCGAGCTCAAGATGTCTCCGACAGCGGGCTCTTATAAACATATGTTTCTGTTTGTATATAAGACAGAGAATTTATTGACTAACTGACAGGCAGCTCCTCAAGGACTCTCCTCCATGGAAATAAAGGGTAACAAATGCGTACCTTGCTTTATATTTCACCCAGAAACCTACAAAATTATTCACCATTACCTAATACGTGCGTAAATCGTTTCTATTCAACACGCCGATTAGCTGCCAGTACAGTCCTTCATATTCATGTAAAAAGCTGTAAGATCCAATCAGAATATAAGCGGTAGACTTGTTTATCAAAGAGTACAGGCTAATTAAGACAACAACCTCATTACAGGTAAATATGTTAGGTTCTGGGCTTACCGCCCCTATTCGGTTTAGTGGTTGTGCCCCTGTTTTGCCAAGACCCGCTGACCTACAGCAGCAGCACAGTGAATGGGAAACAATATTCAATAAGAGAGCTTCAACGGAGATGTCACGTGACTGTTGGCCTCCTCCAGTGGCGAACTGGACGGTGGCAAATGGCAGTCGGCGTGTGTCCAGACAGGACAAATCGGCTATGTGTTGCAAAGGAAAAACAAATACCTCGGATATTAACGAGTCGATATTAAAAATAGATAAAAAAA